ACTCATGAACATTAATGAGATGCATTGTGGAATGACATCAAAGGCAGCATCATACTTGAAGAAAGCAAAAGATCATTTAAAAGACAAGAAAGAAAACACAAAAATGGATGTCAAAAGCAACTCTGAAGCTTGTTCTTAAATATATAGTAGCTAAAGCAAATGGAAGAAATGACATGAAAGAGATGAACAGAAGATTTTAAAGGGTAGCTCAAGAATACAAAGTAAGGTATTATAATGAAGTGTACAAAAACCTGGAGTTAAAAAACCAAAAGGGAAGAAAATACTTGGCATTTCTCAAGCAGAAAGAACTGAAGAAAATTCAAGCCTTGAGTTGTTACACTAAAAGATTCTATGGTGAAATATTGAGCAATGTAGGAAGCATCAAAAGGAAGGAAGGAAGCAATACACAGAGCCACAGTGCCAAATGAATTGCTTAGCATTCAACCATTTCAGGAGGTAACATATGATCAAGGACCAATGGTATTGAAGGGATATGTCCACTGAAAAAATCAGTCAGAAACAAGGCTCTAGGAATTGATGGGACAGCCACTGAGATGTTTCAACAAATGGATGCATCATCACTGGAGACGCTTACTTATTTATGCCAAGAAATTTGGAAGACAACTACCTGGCCAACCGATCCATATTTATGCCCATTCTAATGAAAGGCAATCCAACAGAATGTGAAAGTTATCAAACAATATCATTAATATCACACACAAGTAAAATTTTACTGATGATATTAAAAAAGCAGTTGGAGCAGTACATCAACAGGGAACTGCAAGAAATTCAAGCTGTATTCAGAAGAGGACATGGAATGAGGGATATCAGTGCTGATGTCAGATGGATCTTGGCTGAAAGCAGAAAATACCGGAAAGATATTACCTGTGCTTACTTACTATGCAGAGATATTCAATTGTGTGAATCACAACAAATTATGGATAATATTGTGAAGAATGGGAATTCCAGAACACTTAATTTTGCTAATGCTGAACCTATGTGTACACAGACTGAGAAGCAGTCATTCAAACACAACAAGGGGATACTACATAGTTTAAAATCAGGAAAGCTGTGCATCACTGTTGTATCCTTTCACCATACTTATTCAATCTATATGCTGAGAAAATAATCTGAGAAGCTAGACTATGTGAAGAAGAATGTGGCATCAGGATTAGAGGAAGACTCATCAACAACCTGTGATATGCAAATTACACTACCTTGCTTGCTAAAAGTTAAGAGGCTTTCATACATTTACTGATGAAGATCAAAAACTACAGCCTTCAGTAAGGATTATGGCTCCACATAATAAAAACAAAAATCCTCATAACTAGCAATAAGTAACATCATGATAAATGGAGAAAATATTAAAGTTGTGAAGGATTTCATTTTATTTGGACTCACATACAATGCCCATGGAAGCAGCAGTCAAAAAGTCACACAACAGGGAGGAGACAAGATGCCATCCTGATGACAAACTCCACCCAGTCCCTCTACATCAAAGGCCTGACAAAGTTAAACAGGTGCAGATGTAAATCCTGGAATTCTGAGCATCAAATCAAAGGATAAAGAATTGGATTAAACACTGATTCGAAAAAGAAACAACAGAAATAGTGATTGCAGAGAGACACAGAGAAAGGGCTGATCACAGAGTGACTTTTTGAGACAGAAGCAACATACGTGGGTGAGGAGAAGGCAATTTCATGAAATCCCCATTAAGACAGAGCTTCAGTGTGAAAAAAAAAAATCCAGATTGAAACAAGGTGAGTAGAATATGAGCTAAGAGAGGAAAGTGGCAGGGAAGTGAGCAAAAATCCCAGTAGCAGAGCAAGGAGGGAGCCAGTAAATAGGAATGAAATCACTTATCAGTAGTGAGCCTTACTAATTTGGGTTGAGGAACCATGCAGAGGAGAAGTCCACTGAGTCAATAGTTGGAGATGCTGGACTCTGGGTGGCCCCCTCCTTGATTTTCTTACTTAAGAGTGCACAGGGCCATGTCAGTGAACAGTAATTGGAGAAGCGTGTTTTCCTGCTTTCTCCAGCACACCTTCCTGGTGACAAGGGGTGAGGCCACACTACCCCCAGCCAAACCAGTGGTGGTTGTTGTTGTTTGTTGTTAAGTGCCGTGGAGTCGTTTCCGACTCATAGCGACCCCATGCACAGCAGAACGAAACACTGCCCAATCCCACGCCAGCCCCACAATCCCTGCTATACTTGAGCCCATCATCGCAGCCACCGTATCAATCCATCTCCTTGAAGGCCTCCCCCTCTTTCGTCGACCCTCCACCCTACCAAGCATGACATCCTTCTCCAGGGAATGGTCCCTTCTCACAACATGACCAAAATAGGTGAGACGAAGTCTGGCCATTCTTGCTTCCAAGGAGCATTCTGGCTGCACTTCCTGCAGGACAGATCTGTTAGTTCTTTTAGCAGTCCATGGTACTTTCAGCATTCTTCGCCAACCAGTGTTAGATATCCCCATTCCCTTACCTGGTTCTCTCAGGGCATGGTGTCGTAGAGTGCAAGCCATGAACTCACAGCCTCCACTGTCAGTGGTGCACACACATTCAGCTATCACACCAGTCACCTGCCATATCTGCTGATGGGGGTGTGCACACACACGGACCTTGTGCAAAGCCCTTCCTGCCATCATGGGCATTCACTCCTGCAGATTTTGCACCTGTACACACCACTACCATTTCCTCAGTGCCTCCCCAGAGGTGGCAGATAAGATGCTGTGTCACCACCAACTTAGAAGCACAGGTAACCATTACCTCACCACCACCATCCCTTTTTTTTCTTTTCCTTTTTTTCACTTCTTCTTCCTTTTTATTTGCTTATCTTTTTCTCTTTGTCTTCTTCTTCCTTTATTTTTACCCATTTTTCTGTCATCCCCTACCACTTTTTTCTCTGTCCCACCCAGCAAGAGGTAGATATTATATGCATATTACTCAACTACACTTTACCACACCAACCACATATTGCCTCACTCAATGACCCAACTGCCACCACCCATTTCTGCACTATTGCATCAAAAACAGATGGTGGCTAATACTTGCCCAATTCATCCAGTTGTTCTTTATGACCAGCAAACATAG